ATAATAATAATAATAATAATAATAAATAATAATAATAATATAACGGTAACGGGGGGGGGGGGCGGTTCCTCTTTCAAGCGCCGCCCGCGGCACCCAGACATTGTCCATTGTGCCTCCCCTAATAAACTTACTCATGAGAGACCTGTTTTTCTCCAAAAGAGAATCAGATCCTTCACCGGCAGCTCCCTGATCTGCTCGGGCCCAAGTAGTGCTGAGCCTAGCATCTTGTGTCTCAACCCTGCATGTGCAGGACAGTCGCTGAGTACATAAAGGCTTGTTTCCTCGTCTTCTCCACATGCCCTGCACCTGGATGTATCGCTACGCCCAAGCTTGTACATGTGGTAGTTTAAGGTGCCATGACCCGTCAGTATGTGTACCGCTGTCCTGGCATCTCTCCTACTCAGAGCCCTTATGCTCCAAGCCAGTTCCCTATTAGGAGTATCTCCCATCAGAGCTCTAGCTTGTCTGCATTTGGACTCAGATTCCACTCTCTAGTGTCTTAGATGTTTTCTGCGGAGCCATTCTTTGATCCTCCCCCTTCGTAGACAAAAGGGGATTCCCAGAGCCGGCCCCGGTCCTACCATCGTTATTTCTGAACCCGCTTTTGCCAGCTGGTCCGCACATTCATTAATCTGGATGCCTAAGTGACCCGGCACCCAGGTAACGGTGACTTCTCTCTCTCTCGCCAATTCGTTCAGAACGCCTCTGCACTTCTGAACCAACCGCGACGTTATTGTCGGAGCCCCCAGCGCCTTGATGGCTGCCTGGCTGTCCGTACAAATTCTGATGTGCTCTCCCGCTTCTACCCTACTCCGCACGGTCTGAGCACAGCTTAGGATAGCCACAATCTCCACTTGGAATACCGTGGCATAACTGTCGAGAGAAATGCTCTCCTTCCATCCCTCTCGACTGCCAAAAAAGCCGGCCCCGGAGCCCGTGTCCGTCTTGGAGCCGTCCATATACCAGACATCCCCTCCACGCACTCGAGCCCCTAAGTTTCCACCTTCCTTTTCCCACTCCTCCGGCCTCGGTATATGCACTTTGAAGTGCCTATCAGAAGCCCGAATAATAGGTATTCTGTCCTGTCGCATCTCGAATATCGGATCCAACAAAACGTCTTCCGGCAGCCTCGTATGCCGGGCTCCCTTCTTCCATTTTAGTTCGCATCTTAGACGGTATGTCGCCATTGCTGCCGCCGCCACCACCACCTGGTGAAACGGTTCGATGCCGAACATTACGCCCATCGCCGCCACTGGTGTAACCATAGCACCTAAGGCACCTATCAAAATCAGAGCCCTGACATGCTCCAGCGCAACTTTGGCTGTTTTCTTTCGCACCCTAGTCCACCATACTACGGCTGCGTATGTGAGTCTGGGGCGAAGTATGGCTGTGTAGATCCAGTGTATCATACTCGGTTTCAAACCCCAAGTCTGACCAAAGGTCCTTCTGCACATCCAAAAATACTGGCACAAGCTTTTGCACCGGTTACGAAGGTGCTTCTCCCAAAGCAGTTTCCTATCCAGGATAACTTCCAAATATTTCACTAATTCGGTCGGAACTAACCTTACTCCTCCAAGAGTGGGTCCCACAATGATGCCCACCTTGTATTTGCGGGTGAAGACAGTAAGACCGGTTTTCAGTGGATTCACCGCAAGACCCGTCCTCTGACACCACTCTTCTACAACTTTCAGTGCCCTCTGCATGAGCTCTAGAAGCGTTTCTAGAAAAAGACCTCGCACAAGTATTGCCACGTCGTCCGCGTAGCCTTGTGCAGTGAAGCCTCTATCGTCCAGTGCCTTTAATAATCCGTCTACTACCAGGCACCATAAAAGTGGGAAAAGTATTCCGCCCTGCGGGCAGTCTCTTCCCACCCACCCACAGACTTTTGCAGTTTCCAGCGAAGTCATCACACGCCTTCCTAGCATGCCCCGGATCCACTCGACGAGCTTCATCGGGACACCTCTTTTGGCGGCTTCCTCACACACTACCCCGTGCGGTGTGTTGTTAAAGGCGCTCTCTATGTCCAAGAAAGCACCCACTGCGTAGCCCTTCCTTTCCAGCTGCTCCTCAATAAATGCTACCGTCTGATGTAGAGCAGTCTCGGTGGAATAGCCCGAATGATACGCGTGCTGATTTTTTGTGGAGAAGGTGCCTCCAGAGTTGTCTCCCTCAGATACGCGTCCACCAGCTT